AATTGAATTATCCTTAAGAATTGAATTAAAAATATTCCTACCTTTTTAAATATTTATTTTTGTTACATTTTTACGAAAAAAACTTCACTTGTCATTTTCATTTTTTTTTAAATAGTTAGATCACATTTCTATTTTTTTAGTTATACTTTTTTTAAAAATATTTTCAAAATTAGATAATTTAATTATTTTTTAAATTAAACAAAATCATAAATGCACCCACAGAAGCCTTACTATATGTATATGTGTATGTGTAGTTATTTAAAAGAGAGGAGGCTATTGTGCAAGTAAATTAAATGTTAAATAATCGTAATAATACTCAAAATGATTTAACTAAAGAATAATCAATTGTCAAATGATCATACTAATAATCAAAATGATCACGCCAAGGAATACTACTTTGCATATAAATTAACAAAAATTAACAAAGATGTAATTTGTGAACGAAGAATATGATAATTATGATGATATGTATTCATCATCATTCTCATATATATTGATTTTATTCTTACAAAATGAAACATTTATTGAAATCGTTAAAAGAATATGAAAATAACATAAGTAAGAAATGTCAACCAAATTTGTTTAGTAATTGACATACATGATCCATTGATATGAAATTCTTCAAAATTCCTCCATTTATCTATCGTTGATTTCTTCTTCTTCTTTGTTGCATTGGAGAGCATGGTGGTCCTTCTCTGTAAATTATAACCACATAATTTCAAATCAAACAATTAAGAAAAATGACATATATACACACAATACACTACTATACTTTTCCTCATTTTCTTTTGTGATCTCATGTGAATGTAATTTGTTTTTTGTTTGAATGTAATATTTGTTTTACAAATGTTTGGATTCGTTTATGAAGAGTTAGATTTAAAAAGATGTGATTGATGTTATTAAGATTAATAATTTTCGTCAAAGATGTGGGTTAGGAAGTTGAGATTCTTTTTAGGGATAAGGTTAGTTATTATTTGAAATTTAAATTTTAAATTAATTATTTAGATATTTTTGTGGCTAATTTTGAGATTTCTTTTTTTAAAGGACGTGATATCCTTTTTTTTTTTTTTTTGAATTGGAAGTATTTTCTTTCTTTTAATAATAATAAGACATATTATATGGATAGAGTTTTAAAAAAAATTACAAAGAAAGGAAAAAAAAAATTACCCCATTTCAACTAATCCACCGTTTAATTTATCTTTTTTTTACAATAAGTTTTTTTTATTTTTTGTAATGGTAACCGTTTAAGTTGTTTATTTTTTAATGGAAACCGTTTAAATTTTTATTTTATTAAAATGGAATTTATTATTTAAATTAACTAAAGACAATTAAGTTATTGAATTTGAATTTATTATTTAAAATAACTAAAAATAATAAAATTCAAGAATAATTGTGGTGCTGACACGTGCCGTTTTTTCCTCTTCTTTTATATATAGATAGATGACAGGTCAAGTAACTTATGCCAAAACACGGGCTTAGTTTGTTTGACTATGTCGGCCCAAGCCCATCTATTTTTTTGTGACGTAAGCCCAAACGTAAGCCCAAACAATTTCTAAGCCTAATACGACTCCTATTTAAGGTTTAGGGCATTTCTCTTCCTTTTTTCTTTACAGACAATTTTTAAGCCGCAGATCAATTGCAGTGACGCCGCAATCGAATAGCCATGGGGAGAAGTAAGTCGCTTCGCTTAAATCCTTATTTATCAATTTTTCATTCGTATTATAATGTATTGTTCCTCAGATCTGAAAAAAATTGGGATTTTACGCATATCTCCATTGACAGATTGATTGAGTTTAGCATTTCTGGTATTTATATGATTGGAATTTTGTACCATGTTTGATGTATATGAATCATTTTCGTAACTGCGTTAGCTATTTTTTTTATTGCATTAATGTGAAATATTGTTTTTTTTTTAAAAAAAAGAGTTCGTTGCGTGAAGTCCTGTATATTTATTATGCGAATGTGGTGTTTATTTGATATAGACTAGCTTTGTTATATGTTTGTTTGTTTGTGAATTTGATTGTAAAACTAGTTTGTTTGGAATTTGTATGATTGAATTGATTTTGTTAGATTTTTTTAGCTTGAAGGTTTGGAATTTGCCGTTATATGTAAAGATAATGGCTTTGAACTAATACATTATAAATGAGACCTATCATGGTAAAATGAGTAGCTTCAAGATTGAAGTATGTGGCATTTTCTGTAGTCTTTTGACACATTTACTTGTGAAGCTAGCTTTTTCGTTACAATGAGAAAAATTGATGAACCATGGAAGTATGAACGGCGTCTTTGTAAGAATATTACTTGCTTGGAAAATGGAAGGAATAGTTTCTCATTTTGTGTCAAAGAAACATCCTTACTTTATGTGTGTGAGAGTGGAAGTACTTGGTAGAATTACATATGAACTACGTGATGAATAATGACTTCATAAGTTGCATATGATTTGTCTAGGATAGTTGTCTGACTAGCCTTGATCATTATTTTGTTATTAATTGTTAATATGTGTATGTAAAAGCATATTTGGAGTTCTGGCACCACTAGTGGTATACTGCTTAAGTTCCAGTCATGACATAGCTAGTTTCAGCATATGTTGTATTGTAATGTTTGTTTCATAGTGCGCTATGAGTCTTTGTGCTTGTCTTTCCTAGCACATTTCCATATTTGGGCCTTGATGTAATGGTTTGAATTTTTTTTCACAGGACCTGCAAGATGTTATCGTCAGATTAAGAACAAGCCTTACCCAAAATCAAGGTTTTGCCGTGGTGTGCCTGATCCAAAGATCAGGATTTATGATGTGGGCATGAAGAGAAAGGGAGTTGATGAGTTCCCTTTCTGTGTGCATTTGGTCAGTTGGGAGAAGGAGAATGTCTCAAGTGAGGCACTTGAAGCTGCCCGTATTGCTTGCAACAAGTACATGACCAAGTCTGCTGGGAAGGATGCTTTTCACCTAAGGGTCAGGGTTCATCCATTCCATGTTTTGCGAATTAACAAGATGTTGTCGTGTGCTGGAGCTGATAGACTCCAAACTGGTATGAGGGGAGCTTTTGGTAAGCCACAGGGTGTTTGTGCTCGTGTTGCAATTGGTCAGGTTCTTCTATCTGTTCGCTGCAAAGATGGAAACAGTAACCATGCCCAAGAGGCTCTGCGCCGTGCCAAGTTCAAGTTTCCTGGACGTCAAAAGATCATTGTCAGCAGAAAGTGGTATGTATTCTATCAGAAGTTTCACTTTATATTTTATGCTACTGATTTGTTTGAGAAGTTTGTACTTTTTCCATTAAAGGATTATCCTGCTGTGTAAAAAGCGCTTTATTCCATCTAATTAGTTATTTAGTTTGGGGAGATTCATTCTAAAAGAACGCCCTACAGTTAATTACCCAAGTATTTCCTTTCAATGCCAAACGTTGTCTTATTCCACTACGGAAATATGTACTCTGTGGGCTTGTTTTCCATCTGAGACTCTTAAAGTTTCATGATATCTTGGTACCCTTTGAGGCTATGTTTGATCATGTATAATTTTGGCTGTTTTAGATAGTTAGAAAGTTGTAACCTCACATGTGCTACTTTGATTCAGGGGATTCACTAAGTTCAGCCGTACTGATTATCTGAAATACAAGTCAGAGAACCGTATTCTCCCAGATGGTGTGAATGCCAAGGTTCGTCTATTCATGTCCTTTCTTTTTAAACTAATATTTTTGCTTTGCTCATTCATGTATCTGGTTGCCAGTAGCAATTTGCATGTTTCGGTTGTGACAATTTATTGTGTATTCTTTTGCTCTTGCAGCTTCTTGGCAACCACGGTCGACTTGCTGCACGTCAACCTGGAAGGGCCTTCCTTACATCTGCTTAGGGAATTGAAGTGGCATATTCTCACAAATAGCACATTTAGTTTTCTAGTCTGTTGAATGAAACTTTGTTACTTGAATTTCTGTCTTTGCATGAACTTTATCAGTAGTGTCCAATTGAACATTTTTGAAATCATTATGTTTTGTATTTGAATTTCTTGTACGGTTAAGAGCTCGTATGTTTTGATGAATTGATACCTCTAGTGATGGGTGGCATTAACATTCTTTGGTGACCCCAACTAATTAATTCTCGTTAAAATTGGAACAGCCTGTTTGTTGAAAAGACTGACGACGTTTATTCCCAAAGATCTGGTTTTGCACAATTAGTACTGGAGAAGGGCTGCTTTATATGAACTTAAATATTAAAAATATAGTAGCAAAAAGATGCCTATAGACATAATGGGACTCCTATTATACTTCTCAATTTGTTGAACTTCGTATGTTTTCTGAGAAGATTAAAGATTGGTTTATATGGAGAGTGCATCAGATTTGAGCACCAAAATGTGAGTTATATACACCGTCTCCAAAGTCGTCGTGTGGCGGTGAAGTGGTACAGAAATCTGCTACTCCCTCCATCCCTTTTTAGTTGTCCACTTTAGAAATGGCACACAGATTAAGACAACAATGATTAGCACAGTGAAGTTACAATTTTACCCTTATGACAACTTTTCACTTCAAAATTACAACCACTTATTTGAATTCAAATGAAATAAATTGGAGGGAAACAATATACACTTTTACAATTTTCAAGAAGTGTAAATAAGGGTATAATAGGAAAAAATTTGTTGTCCTTTCTTGATTTGTCAAAATGGACAACTAAATAGGGACAACCAAATAAGGAAATATGGACAAGTAAATAGGGACGGAGGGAGTATTTCCTTAGATTTCTGATCATGCTGGATCAGATTAATATGCTCAGATACATGAATACATCTTAAGAAACGGGCGAAGATTAGATAGATTATCCAAATATTTGACGTGTAGGTAGATCTTCATAGGCACTGCAAATTTGGGAATCCTATTCTTGAACGAATAGTTAGTTATGCTCTATCCACCATATTTTATTTGAGAGTGAACACAACATTTGAGGTGTATGATGAACTATTTTGCAGACTCCAACTCAGTACAAGATTCAGGATGCACAAAAGTTTCAAAAGACCATAAAACAACTAGTTGCATTTAATTAACCATAAAAGTAAAACTCCTCAAAATGACGGTAGTAGTTCCAAAGCATGACTTATTTCCTGTTCAAACAGAAATAGAAATAGCAGTCCTCCCCAGACAAATGACGAACAGAACTTGAGTTATATGTGTTCACAAGACAAATGACGAACAGAACTTTAGTATCTGTGTTCTAACTTCTCCTTCTCCAGGAAATGCTGCACGTACCTGCATGCATAAAGAAACACCTTGGCTATGAACTAAGCAACCACTAAAACCACATATATATTTGTTGGAATTCTCAACCAATAACAGAGGAATTTCTAGAACCTAACTTAGCGAAGAATTATTCCAGGTGACATTAAGTGAAAAAAAAAATCCTTACATCTTGGCTATCTATTATTATAAGGGGAAAAGAGGGGAGGGATAACTGACTCAGAAAGCTCAAGCCAACAGAAGATAAAAACAATGACCATAATCTCGCCAATAACCTTCAACAATCTAGTCTATACAAGTAAATCTCCTCTATGCCTGAATGCAGCTCAAATACTATGATGATCCAGAATAATATCTTATACTTGAGATAAATTACAACTCAAAATAACTAAGACTTTTGCAGCAATCACTTTTATTTGCTTGGAGACAAAAATGAACAGAATAAAGAAAATAGAGGAGAAAGAAGTTAATCGGATATATTTTGACCATATAAGAAAAATGAGAAAAACAAGAACACTTTAACTAAGATTCTGTTAAAGAGGTACTAATATGTTCTTGAACAAGTTAACTAATATACACAATATGTGAAGGTACATGATAATCTAACTAGTGCTAAATATTGTCTCAAATATTATATCCTAGAAAATCAAACTACATCTAGTTACTAGTGGTGAAATAATTTTATATCGACACATTTTACATATCAAAAAGGATTATATTTCTGCATATTAACTTTTTTCTAACAAAAATATAAACTGAGATCAATTTGATGTTTAAGCTCGAATGCTTTACCAAGGAAACTTTTTCTACTCAAAAGAACTATCATACACCATGTCCTTTCCAACCCCAACCTCCAAAGAAACAGGAACTAAATAAAACTCCACACCACATGAAAAATACAAAACAAAGGAAAATCGTATTAACCTTGCCTTTCCAATCAGTAAGTAGGCTTGAAAGAAAACCGTCCAGCTTCATACTTATAGAAGCCAATGTCTTCAACAATTTCAATTGGCATTGTGCAACTGTATTTCATCAAAAAAATGAAGGAAGATTCACAATGTGTGAAGGCTTCACATATCTCATGGGTCGTCTTAGTAGGTACCTCCAGACGCTCTGATATGCCAAACATATATGTTCGGTATTCATGCTCTTAAGCATTATTTAACAGCTCTCCACTCCCATATGTTATATTCCAACTAAAGCCTGAGCAACTAAGTTCCCCTTCTAAGCTAGCTCTACATTTCGGTCCTTTTATTGTAAGCATATCTAAAAACATATTGTAAGCAGGCAAGAAAAGTTTGATTCAAGTTAAGTGCTCCATGACCTAGTCTAAATTAAGCAACATCTAGTAAGATCAGATCAATAAGAATCTCAGATCTTTTCGAAAGGCGCTCCACATACTATCAATGTATACAAGTATCAAATGGACCTGTCAATTTGAGCCATCTCAAAGCGCACACAGCTTCAAATCCAGAGGTGTGACATAGGTCAATGAAAACATCCTAACAGTCATAACTGTGAGGTATCCTTTGATACGAAATTATCGGGAGCGTGCTCATCTAGGCACGCACTAAATTGGAATCCACAATTTTGAATTGAGGCATAGTTAATTATTTGATTGATTTGGTACACAAGAATCGAATAAGCTATCATATATTGGAAATATAAGCAACTTCATTCCATTCCAATTAAACACAACGAAATTATCCGGGAGAGCTTAAATCTATGCAGTCAAAAGTGGAACCAATTTGTTAACAAGTAGTTTGGATGCGGGAATCAGAGCCTGAGAGAAGAATTTAGGTGAAAACGACGAAGCAAAGAAAACAGAAATGACAAACATTTACATGTACAATATCAGGGAATGCTTCCAAATACGAAGGTTATAGTATAGATGATTAATTAACACAGCCGATCTCAACAAAGTTTGGGATTGAGATTCAATATACTTGATCGAAGTACTTACGAGTAGGTGCCGATAAGAGGGCCGAGCAAGAGAGTAGCGCTGATCCAATTTTCAGAGACTTTGTGATGGATTTTACCAGGAAGGTCCTTCCATAGACCTGGCATAATCTTCTGTTGGAATGGCGATAAAGCGTAAACAACTGCTTTCAGCTTAACTGGTTGTTTCCCCATCTTAGCTGAATTTTAATGGTGATTTTTCCGATCGATTTTCGATGAACAAGCTAGGGTTCGAGATTGAGAAGAATGATAATTGACATTTGGTGGATGGAGGAGGAAGCTTCTTCTTCCAGTAAATTCGTTTGGGCCTAGAACTGTTGCCCAGCCCAATTTGGGCCGATAAAATTAGCCACATGAAGGGCCCGCTTGGCATTAGACGAACTAGTGGCTGAGCATCGAGTAGTGTTTTAATACAAACTTTCACATATAGCAAACACAAAAATCATATTTGTATGCTATAACTATAGTTTGCATAATTGCGCCTCCATCTATAACTATTTCTCTATACATATATACAAAAGAAGCTGGCTATTTCGCTATACATATATACAAAAGAAGCAATTGTATAATCTGTCTCGGTATACATATACAAAAGAATCAATTGTATAATCTGTGTTTGTATAAAGCGATAAAGAGAGAAAGACAAAAGAAAACTGGACAGGAGAAGATTGTATTTGTATAATCATAAGTGTATAGGACGAAAATATATGCATTTGTATTTGTATATACAATTTTCTCTCACTTTATACATACACAAACACAATGTATACATTTGTGTTTGTATAATGTGAGAGAGGCGAGCGAGATTTGAAAGAGGGGAGAGAGAGGAACGAAAATATATGTATATATACAATTTTCTCTCGCTTTATACAAACACAAACACATTTTATATATTTGTGTTTGTATATATAAAAGCGAGAGAGGCGAGCGAGACTGGCCAGCGAGAACGAGAGTGGCGAGCGAGATTCACCAGGGAGAGAGGCGAAATAACAACAGTTTGATATGGGGTACAATTAAATCAATCTATGGTTATAATATTTAATTTGAATTAATAGTTTGCTATTATATACAATTTTTCCATTTCGATATGCATTGGAAATATTAGATTAGTTAGGATAGGAAATCCATAAAAATATGATAGTTTATATGAGTTTTTTCATTCAAAGATGAGAGAATTGATTTTGTAGGTCACTTATAAATTAAAATTTTAAAAAAATCTTTATTTTTATAGTTAAGAAATCTTTAAAAAAAAAAGGTAATTTTTTCTTTTATTGCATTCACTTTACGAGTGACCAAAAAAATCTTAATTTCTTTAGAAATAAGGGTCCGAAGTGTATTAGAATCTGCGTGAAAAATACTTTTGTAATTTTAGAGGTAATAAGCTGCTATTGGTTAAGATGGTAAAAGCTGACAAAAACACGTCAAATTTAGGGTGTTTTTACGTATTCTGCCATATATATCAACGTGTTTTTTTTTTTTTTTGGTAAACTATAATACTATATATTAATATACACTCTTAAGCTTCTTGTAACCATAAACCCTAAACAAATCTAACATTACGTCTCTTTTTAAGCTTGAATCATGAAGCGTTTAATCATATATGGATTTTTCTTCGCTTGCATTGTTGGATTTTTGATGAACCATAAGCCTGAACCTGAAGAACAAATTGTTGTAACAAATACAACAATGTCGTCAATTCCAGCTCAAAATTGTCACTTCGCATCGATCCAAGGAAGAAGATCATACCACGAGGATCGCGTAACATGCAACGTTGATCTTAAAATTCCTCGAATTGGACTTAATGATGGCGTTGAAGAGGTCAAAATTGGTGTTGTAGCAGTTTTTGACGGGCATATTGGATCGGACGCTAGTGAGATGGCGTCTAGGGTTTTTTTAAATAAGTTTCTCCAGAAGAACTACGGGTACCAAAATTCTAACCCTAAGGAATTTCTGAAATCGTCGTTAGTTAAAACGATTGAAGAAATCGATGCAGAATTCAGCAAACTCGCTCTGGAATACCAACTTTATTCCGGATCTACTGCAGTTGTTGCTCTCATATACAACAAAAAACAGGTTTTAGTTGCAAATGTTGGGGATTCGAAGGCGTTTATTTGCTCTGGAAAATTGGCGAAGGAGTTGACAGAAGATCATAATGCAGATAGATTGGACGAGAGGGCCAGGGTTGAAGCTTCTGGAGGTAAATTCACATTTTATACTAATTATGTTCCTCTTCTCAATGGTCATTTTCCGATGACTCGAGCTATTGGTGATGTTACTTTGAAAAGAGTTGGAATCATAGCTACTCCAGAAGTGACTGATTGGCTAAATTTAACAAAAAAAGATGAGTTTTTGGTTGTGGCATCTGATGGAATATTTGAAAGCTTAAGTCCCAAAAAAGTTTGTGAGTTTTTATATGAAGCAGAGGGCCATTCAGATTTAACAGTATTGGCTCAACAAATTGTTCAGAAAGCATTTTTAGAAGGCAGCACTGATAATTTATCAGTTGTTTTGGTTCCCTTATGATCTGGATCAAATTTATGCATCTTCAAGTTTCAGTGTTAGGCAAAAATAGTAGTAGTTTGAGGCTTTGGGGGGTAGAGAGTACTCTTCCTAGAAGGTGGCTCATCATCCTGAAGTGCTCTCTAGGTGTAAATTTTTGGTATCAAAAAAAATATTACTTCCTCTTTCAAGAAGAATGACCTAATTTCCTTTTTAATTTGTTTAAAAAAGAATGACCTAATTTTCTTTGTAGTCTGTTTAAAAAAGAATAACGTCTTTCTTTCTTATTTTGGTAATTAGAGAGAAAGAAAGGACAAACAATTAGACTAGCATTAGTAGGTACAATCTTTTTTTCTAAGCTTCTGATTGAACTTTAAAGTAACGGCAAGATGATCAAAGGAAAAATGTCGTCTAACAAAGAGATTAGTCACCACACGCAAAGTTACCGACAACGGAAGAATGATCGATGAAAAAGTATCGTCTAGCAAAAAAGAGATGAGTGACCGCAAGTTAGCGACAAACAACTCCACCGATTACCTTTGTAAGTGGTTCCTTGTCCTAAACCCCAACTCCGGTTGAACTCAAGAGTTGAGTTTATCCGATACTCATGCTGGTAGAAGGTGGCAAGTACCTGGTGAAATTTAGCAAACAAACCAAACACACCATCACCGGGAAAAAAAGAAGCCCCGGAGCAATCATGGAGTGGACGGTAGCTCCAGCAGTTATAGAGATAACATGGTCTTAAATCCATATCATGGGATTTACATATAGCAATCTATATTTAACGAAGGATGAAGTAAATTATAAGTTACAAATCCCAAAAAGGAAAGGAAATCACCCTTGTCAACTAGCTGTCAAGAACAAATAAATCAAATAATCATTCTACTTCAACAACAAACAACTACAGTCAACAAAATCAGTTTTGAGGTTTTCTTCAATCTGCTATGTTTCCTTTGTCACTTACTATTTTCATCACGTTAAGGCCACAAAAGCGCGCTGTATTTAGGTGCAGATTAGCATCCTCCTGTCTAGAGATGCGAAGCAGCTGTGCATACCATAGCACTCATCACCAACCAGTTTTTGCTCGTTTCATCCCGCTTGAACTAAAAGGAGATAGACTACCCCTTGGTTGGGGGCTCTCTTCTCTGAAATTGTTATTCAGCAAAGCAAGCTCTCTAAGCTGTTGCCTTTTATATAAGTCCTGCGACTCATCCTGCAATTCCAGGCAAATGGAAATGAAATTAGCAATATGATCCTAGGAAATCACAAAACCATAAAATGGTTACCTTCTAACACTAGTTTTCTTACCTACCTTTCAAACTACTACACATTCACAACTCTCTTGGTAAATCACCATGTCAAGTCAAACTAAGATTATCAGTTTGACGTTGAGGGATTTGTTACATTAGACCTTTCTCCTATGGGGATTTAGTTCAAAAGAAGTATGAAGCTAACAAACAGATCATAAGAGATGTCTTCCTTTTCTTTTTTTTTCATTCAGCATTGTCCTCTTTGGGGGACAAAATAACTCCTGATAGATGCATAGTTAAGAAATAATCAGATTATTCATGAAGTGCAAATATTTATCACGCATCATATCATCTGTTTGCATATGTCAACTCTTTCAGTCTGTCCATTTCAATTCATGATTAAGAACCACATAAGTACAACATTATGAGTGCTTTGTCTGCAATTGCTTATAGCTGTATATGTCGGAATCAAAATGTGCTTACCACAGGTCTGAGCAACTCTTCAATAATTTGGCTAGCTTGTTTCATTCGTACATCAACTATATTGATGGGTAATTCTGCCTCAAGTAGAACATGCAGTGGCTCATTGAGGTGCTCATAACCTGGAAGGCCTCTCAGACTCTCCTCCTACAATAATATAAGACAAACACAAAGAATAAGAAATATAAGATGAACACAAGTAAAAGCAAAACACCCGGTGCAGTGCAGATATAAAATGGAGGGCAGAAAAATGTACGGAGTGCTTCATAGAGAAAGAAAAGCCTTCTATAAGAATATTGGACGAAAAGCAGGACAGTGAGCAGAAAAATGTCAAAAGAACTTACTTTTTCAGCATCTTTTATTGAACCCTTTCCTCTGATAAATACGCGACATCCAGTAGATGCTTCCACTCGCTTCAGAGAATTACCTCGAGGTCCTAAAAGCCGTCCAACAAAGTTGAACTGTGCCATGAGAAATGTACTATTCAGTGCAACTGATTTCTACTGCTCAAATAATTTGACGAAATATCAAAATGTCTTCAAACACATCCCTATAGTCTACTCCCTTCCTCCATCTTAAGTGAGTCATTAATTATGAGGAGTTATCACATAATTGTTGGTACAAAGTGGCACCTCTGGGAGTTGAAATTGATACTACCAATATTACGCAGAGTTTAATGTGACATGTACATCATCATTATATTTACACCAGATAATGCAACCTAACTCTTCAAAGGTAAATCCATAAAGAAATAGATGGAAAATTAAACATTATCTACTGTCAAAGTCAGCTTACATTCGGATATCTGTCCACAGGTATATCCAAACGCAACACCCGCTTCACAACAAATGAACTTGGACTTCCTGGTGAAGCTTGCCAGTCGATGGGCCTTCCCTGTGGTCCACCTAATCTTTGCTGCAAAATGAATTTCAGGGATATCAATCCAACCAGAAAAGCATTAGGAGTACAAGAAGCAATGCCACATGAGAGAAAGAAAGACCATGGGGAGGGTGTCAGTTAGCTCCCATATCTTTCTGGAGTAGCGAAGAACTTTT